TATTTTTAGTAGAGACGGGGTTTCACCATGTTGACCAGGATGGTCTTGATCTCTTGACCTCGTGATCCACCCGCCTCGGCCTCCCAAAGTGCTGGGATTACAGGCTTGAGCCACTGCGCCTGGCCTAGAATTCTAATGGTAAGAGTTAATTCAATGTAAGTTTTCATTGTGGCTTATGCTTCTAATGTCTTAAGCATACAGTAGCTACTGACATTTTTGAGGTAGTGGTAAATTTGCTGACAAAAAGTTTGCTAGACAAATAAATCAATTGCAATTACTCTTCTTCACAGACATCTCAAGTCTCATCAGTAATGGAAATGGTCTTGTGGTAACTGAAAAACTAAAATCATTATCCTTTGTTGATATAGAACATTATTCAGCTAAACCACAAAACTGTTACTGCAACTTATGCATTTTGCTTTCCTGTTTTCATGTACTTCTCTGCTTGGCATAGAAATCCTGTAAATCCAACATACATCCACGTTTCTGAAGAGTGATTTATTAGGGCCCTTGGGAGAACATTGTTTTGCTGTTTTCTCTAAATAGAACAATTTATACTCTTTTTATATTTTATTATGCAAAGAATGTAGCTGGCATGAACCTTAACCCAAAAATTTGAGCAGGCAAGAAAAGTCACATTACAAATTTTTTTCTTTTGAGTTATAATTCTGACTGAGCCCTCATTCTGCCTGATTTGATAGGTCGAAGGCAGGAAATTCAACCTTACGCATCACAAGGGCTGTCTCCTTTTCTCTGGGGTTTGCACAAACACTTGGGGGAAGGAAGAGTGGCTTCTGTGCTGCTAAGACACAGGAAAAGGCTTTTAGCTTTCATTAGATTCTGTCTACCTAATGCAGGTCATTGTCCAGGTCTCAGTGTTTGTCTGAAGATGGAAAGCATGTACTGTTCACATCCTGAATGAAGTAGAAGAGGGTGATGTTAAGGGGGGATTGGCCTGAAAATACAGAGAAAACAAATAGACATCATTATCCAAATAAATAACTTTTTGAAAACAGTGTAACAAATAATTAAAAATCTGGATGGATAATCAGTTACCACATATGTATAGATATCTTTGTCTGTAAGCTAATATCTTCTAACTAGAGGATCTATGATAATGTATCTTTAAGAAGATGGATCATGCATCTATGATGCTATGAATCCACTCATTAAAAACAACAGAATATTCAAGGTGTATTTATTTATTTTTTTTTGGAGACAGGGTCTTACTCTGTTGCCCAGGCTGGAGTACAGTGGCGCAATCATGGCTCACTGCAGCCTTGATCTCCTGGGCTCAGCCTCACAGGTGGCTAGAACCACAGACATGTGCCCCCACATCCAGCTAATTTTTAAATTTTTTGTAGAGCTAGAGTCTCCCTATGTTGCCCAGGCTGGTCTTGAACTTCTGGGCTCAAGTGATCATCTTGCCTCAGCCTCTCAAAGTGCTGGGATTATAGGTGTGAGCCACCACAGCTAGCCAAGCTATTATTTTAATAATGCAAAATTTAGTATATTTAGTTCATAAAGCAAGAGCACGAACTGACTTAAAATATTTCAAGCATATTTTGAGCTACAAACATACTGACATATAAGAGCAAACTATGCAGCTTTTATAAATGGAAGTGCATTGAAAAGCATAAAATGATGGAATAAGTACTGGCAATGCAATATAATGCTAAGGAAAATTTGTGTCTATCATGAACACTGCCCTTGAAACTTGTTTGGAAGTTGAATCTGCTGCAAAAAGGGCATTTGGGAAAACTGCTTCAGTATCCATCCTGTCTACCTATTTGCAATTTTGTTTTCATTTTTATTACTCAAAAAGGTTTCATTTTTTATTTAGCTTTTTGACTCTGTGCTTGTACCTTCAACACTTTCACAATGATTTTCTGTTTCTCAATTAGGAAAGCATGCTTGATCCTGTCACGAACACATTTAGCACACATGGAACCACCATAGGCCCTGCTGATGTGTTTCTTTGTTTTGGACAATCGCATAAGAACTTTGGGTCTTACAGCATGAACCCCTCAAAGTCTGCCTGGGCATATATCACATGCAGATTTTGGTGCTTTCCCAGCCTTCTTGGTATAAAGGTAAACCATTGTGTTACCAGGGTTTCGAGACAGACTAGTTTTGTTAGAGGTTGTACCGTAGGAAAGCCTACATCAGTATGTCAAATGCTGGACCATTTTGAGCGCCTCCAGATGATGTCCTCGGAAGAGCTATTTGCAATCTTAAATGATTGCGTTTATTTTTTAGGAAACCCAATGCCCTCGGGAATTCCTTCTGCTGCTTTGTCCTTCGCAAGATCAACTGAAGTTCTCTACCTGTGTAAAAAGGCTGAATTTCAGGTAAGGAAAGAAAGTTAAACTGCTTTGGTTTTTGAATGATTTTCTTGTTTAAATATAAAGTTTAAGTATAATGACATTTTTAAATTTCTAAAATTAATTTCACTCAAAGATAGCATAACAATGTTAAGGAAAAGGAAATAATAATCCAGTCATCTATGTTACTGTTGCTAACACAATAATTTTTATTAATGCATATTATCTTCCCATGTATTTATATTCATATTTTACATATATTGTGATGATATTCATATAGCTTTTTTTTATATTCCAGAAACTGCTACTTACTTGATACTGACAATGATGACTTTTCTATATCCCTTTGTATAGATAGGGATATACTTTTGCTTTTCTTCTTCCACCTACTCAGAACCTTCACTTCCTCACTTCCTCACCCCTACTCTTATATCACCAAGTCAGGAAGGGCATGTTAACAACTTAGTAAATACCCTTCAGCTTCTTTCCCAGGTGCCCACACACATACCACACATACATCCTTTCTCTGTATTTTGTTTTGTCACTTTGCATGGGAATCCCTCTAAGTCAGCCTTTAAACACCAAACTCATTTTTTTTTTTTTTTTTTTGAGACAAGAGTCTTGCTCTGTTGCCAGGTATCAGGCTGAAGTACAGTGGCGCAATCTTGGCTCACTGCAACCTCCGCTTCCCGGGTTCAAGCGATTCTCCTGCCTCAGCCTCCCGAGTAGCTGGGACCACAGGCCCATGCCACCACGCCCAGCTAATTTTTGTATTTTTTAGTAGAGGCGGGGTTTCACCATGTTGGCCAAGATGGTCTTGATTTCCTGACCTCGTGATCCACCTGCCTTGGCCTCCCAAAATGCTGGGATTACAGGTGTGAGCCACCTTGCCTGGCCCATCAAACTCATTTTTAAATGAACGCATAATGTTCTATATTATGCATGAATCATAATTTACTCAATTATTCTATCAATGGGTATGCGCTCTGTTTTTTCTTCTAGAGTGTGGCAATAAATAATCTTGTGTATATATCCTTTTATTTCTTTGGTGTAAATAGTAGTAGAATTAAGGTCAAATATGCCTATTTAATATGAATAGATATCAGCTCTGCAATGCACATTTCCATCAGCAATAAATGATTCATTTCTTGCCCTTTACCTCTCTTATGGGATTGTAGTGTTCTCTGCAGCTTTCATCCATGTGTGGGGCTCATTGGTACTTGGTTTGTATTTCTCTGGCTACAGTTAGAGCATTGTTTTATGTTGATGGACCATTTGGATTTGTTCTTCTCTGAACTGCCTAGTTATATCTTTCATCCATTTTTCTTTTGAATAGTTTATCTTTTATCTATGTTATATTTTCCCAAATTTGACTACAATATATTTTGCCAAGAAAATTTTAAATTTATATACACAGACAGCCCCTGACTTATGGTTTTCCTTATAATTTTTCAACTTTGTGATAGATTTATCAGGGTATTAAATGCATTTTTGACTTACATCTTTTACTTACGATGGGCTTATTGGGACATAACCCCATTGTAAGCTGAGAAGCATCTGTGTGCATACACACACACACGCTTATTAACTTATTTACGTGAAAAATGTATTTTAATTTTAAATATAGCTTGAGTTTTAAAAACTGGCTAAGGTCTACGCTATCTCTAGATTTCCAGTCTCTTAGCTTTCCTTCTAAGACTTCTATTGTTTTACATTATTATTTTTTTTGAGACAGAGTTTCACTCTTGTTGCCCAGGCTGGAGTGTAATGGTGTGATCTCAGCTCACTGCAACCTCCGCCTCCAGGGTTCAAGTGATTTTCCTGCCCCAGCCTCTCGAGTAGCTGGGATTACAGGTGTGCACCACCATTCCTGGCTAATTTTGTACTTTTAGTAGAGACGGGTGTTCGCCATGTTGGCCAGGCTGGTCTCGAGCTCCTGATCTCAGGTGATCCTGCCCACTTCGGCCTCCCAAAGTGCTGGGATTACAGGCGTGAGCCACTACTCCTGGCCCATTTGCTTAATTTCAATTTCAAAACCTCACCCAAGCCTGGCACGGTGACTCGTGCCTATAATCCCAGCACTTTGGGAAGCCAAAGTGGGAAGACTGCTTTAGCCCAGGAGTTTGAGACCAACATCCAGTCTATAAAAAAAAAACAACAAAACCTCTCGCCCAGTTGAAATATTCAAATTGGAATCACATTAACATGCTAATTTGGGAGAATTGATATTTTTATGATATTATCTTCCCATTCAATACATTTGTTCAGATCTTGACTTATGTCCTTCAATAAGATTTTGTAATAGTTCTTTCTTGTTAGCCTTATACCTTCAGACTTTTAGTTTTTGTCTGTCATATTTACCATCATATCAACTTTTAGGTATTATTTATAAAGAAAAGCTATTGATTTTTGGCATACTTGTCTTATATCCAGTTACTTCCCCAAGTTACTGAATACTTCTAATAGATTTTTTGAGCTTTCAAGATGCTCACTTATAATACAAGCAAAAATAATTTTATTTTCCAGTGTTTATATTTAACATTTCATTCTTTTGATTTAATGTATTCATTAGCTCTATTAAGAGACTCAGCCCCTATATCATAGCATTGTTGTGAGAGTTTAATAACACATGTAAAGTGTTTAAGAGCAATAGGTGGCACATCTTAGGATGTCCAAGAAATAACTAATATTATTTCTCAACTATGAGAGCTTATCAGTTCTTTAATCTAGAAATGTCACTTTCAAGCAGTATCAAGCGAGATTACTGAATATTAAGCTATCATTTGCTGGTTTTTCTTATTCTTTCATCATTCGCCATTTTAATTGAATTTAGGGAGCCTACATGACAGCTGTCTTAAACTTCTATTTCTGATTCATAGGACGGCAGAAAAGAAAAGCTGAGAAAGTGTATTTGCAGGGATGATTTCAGATTGTTAAGGTTATTTCCCTTTGGAAAAGAGGTTAACGCCAAACTAGAGTTAAGGTTAGACACTAAATCTGTTTCGGTTTAACTCATGTAGTGTTTATTTTGTGCAGGTCAGGGAGACCTGGTCACAAAAATTTTTTGCTTTCTAGAATTTGTAACTTTTCTTCTTCCAAGAGTGAGATAAAACAATTGATCCAATTGTGACAAATTCCACTTGCTCCTCTGAGTGAGTTTTAGTAGCAACAGGGCTAAGAAAACAGCCCTTCCTTATTATAATACTCTTAGGGAAATCAACACTGTGTAACTGGCTCCTCTGACACAGTATGGAGTTAGGTGGCAGCACTGTAAAATGTCTTAACTTGCCAGGGCTAACCTGGTTGACATTCTATATCCATCCTGTTTGGATGATATCCTGAGACCTGTCCTCTTTACCCTCCCTTGAACAAAAGCCTTGGCAGGGGGCCTAGGGCAATCAAGTCATTAATTCTGCATATGTCATAAGCTACATCCTGCCAAGGAGAGAATGCCCTGACCATGAGAATATCCTTTACTGGTTCAGAGTGGAAGGATGGGGGAGGGGTAGTGGATGCCATTTCTTTCTTTGGTGACATCCTCTGTGAAAGCATTGGTGCAATAAAATTAGTGGTATGATAATGGCCAATGATGTCCTCCTATTTCTGAAAAATTAAGAGCTAGCTGTTAGCTGTTTGCTAAATAGTAATTACCAAATAGTTCAGCTTCTGCAAGGAGCCCAAGGTGTATTTCAGGAAGTATTATTGCTTTTTACTCTAAGAAATGTGAGTTTTTATCAGATGAGTTTTTATCAAGTATCTATGTGTCCATTCCTCCCATTTCTTTTTTTTATGTGCATCTAGATATGACACTCCTCCCATTTCTCAAAAAACAAAAACAAAATAACCAAGCAGTAAATAAAACATTGAATTCAGTGCAGAAGCAAAATCTTATAAACACCACCATTTGGTCTCAGAAACACTCATTTTCTCTAATATGAATCATGTATGTCTGATTAAAGGTGGGAAGTGAGGTGAAGAGAAAACCCTCTGGATATGCCTGAAAATGGAAAACAAAGAAAATGTTTGTTTTATTACTACTAAATCTAAGTAAAAGGGGGGAAGTTTCTGTCATAACTGATAAATGTAAAATATATAAGGTAGGTAGGATATATGCTGACACAAGTAGAAGTTAATTCTGTGGGATGACAATGGTTAACAGTATTCTATGGCCAGTATGTTGCTTCTGGAATTGTAGAACTAGTCCATACTAAACCTCTGATTGACTCATGAAAGTCTCACCTGTTCCCAGACTTCCCTCAGAATCCCTGTAGAGTAGCTTAATTCTGGGACTTTCCTAGGTCCTCACGATCTCTCTAGGGAGACCCGAGGGTTTGCTTATTAAGTTCAGAATGTTTTCAGTTACCCTGGAGCAGACTCATATTAGTCTTTGGTACTGAAAAATTGTTAAAATGTTTTGGTAGGTTGTTTATGGCTCCCAAAGTTATGTCCACACCCCAACCCCCAAAATTATGTCTGTAAACTTTTTTTGAAAAAAGTGTCTTTGCAGATGTGATTAAGAGTTTTGAGGTGAGATTATCCTTAAGTATTATGGGTGAGCCCTAAATGTTAAAACAAATGTCCTTATAAGAGAAAGATGATACAGAGGAGGAGATATGAAGATGGAGGCCCATGAGTGATGTGGCATAATGCCAAGGAACGGGTTCTGAGAGGCTCTAGGAGTACATCCAACAACACTTTGATTTTGGACTTTGACCTTCAGAACTGTGAAAGAGCACAAATTTGTGATAATTGTTACAGCAGCCTTAGGAAACAGATACATACTTTTAAACTAGGACACTAATATATTTTTAGAAAATAATAAAAATAGATCAACATATGAGAATCCAATTAAAAAGAAGAATTTTCTCCCTAATATTTTGGGTAAAGCACCAAAGTGGCTGCTTATGAAAATTGAGAGAAAATAGTTTATATTACTGGGAAAGTAGAGAAATACTGCAACGGCATATATTTGAAAGATCACTTGTCTTGGTACAGCTGAATTTAAATAAAAGTTTGCCAATACTGGCTCTGAAACCGACTTTATAGTTGCTGCAGATACACATAGACCTGGTAGCAATTCGAGGATGGTATTTCCAAAAACTGTCCCAGCATCTCCTTTTATTTGTAGCAAATTCACCACCAAGTATATACAGAGAGATAAAAAAATGAATGATTTTAGAGAATAAAATTACTGCTTGTCTGTACCGTTCTAGAAGAGGAACAATAGTATTTTTCTCTTTGCCATAAAACATGCTATATTCTCAAATGCTGCTCAGCTATTTGCCTTGTTCTCTGCCCGTGTCTTTTTAATAGCAGTCCTTTGTATTCCAACCTTTCTCCCCAACCCAATCCTGTTTAGGCCAGGGTTTCCTTATTATTAATATTATTTGGAGACAGAGTCTTGCTCTGTTGCCCAGGCTGGAG